ATATATATATATATATATATATATATATACACACACATATATTAAAAAATATTAAAAACCTGTATTAAAAATATATTGTTTCAAAAAATGTATCTGTTATTCTTCAAATTTTTTTACCTTTTTTGTTATTTAATGCAGTTTAAAATGTGGTTTATTTTTTCAAAATTTGGAAACACTGTAGATACGAATCTATTGTATTCTATTACATCTAATACGGTTTTCACTCTTCACATATACCAAACTAACCTGCCCTTGGAGTCTTTGCAAGTTACAATCTTTGATCCCATGGCTTCTAATAAAAGGTTGGCACAGGTCTCCTGGTCATTGACCCTGCAGGAAAGAGGAATCAGAGACAGACAAGTTAAAAGAAAAGAAAAAAGTGCAAAAGACCGAAAACTATCTCACAGCAGACATACACAGCACAATGTAGCGGGGTGAAGGGGTTCCCATCAAAGTGACGAAAATCTCTTTGTTCGAGTAGGACCTCTACACAGCCCTCATGACCTATGAGACACACAAGCTACATTTAATTTATTGATAAATAAAAGCATCTTTTAAAACTCATAATGGAGACTGTTAAAACCAACCATAGTAACAGGCCCAGTGTAAGGGTGTGTATCCCTGGTTGTCTTGTAATGGAGGTATCGGGGGTTCAGAACACGCAATATTGAGCAATTCACTCAACCAGGACGCGTGACCCCTCGATGCAGCCAGGTGGATGGCTGTCCGACCCCTGGTGTCCCCCAGCAGCACAGATGCCTCAAGCTCCACCAGCGACTGAACACATTCCTCCTGTCCACACAAGAGCTAAGAGAGAGAAAGAGAGAGCTTTAAAAAAAAAAGTCCTTGTACATCTTGTACTTGAATATGTTTGACAAGATCAGAAAACTCACCCCCAGGTGCAGAGCAGTCAGACCCTGTTTATTAGCCAAGTCCACACTGGCCTCACGCTCCAATAGAAGAGACACAGCATCCACATGACCCCCCATTACTGCCAGCATTAGAGGGGTCCTGCAAACACAAACGCACATAGAACAAATACCCATTAAAGCACTCTCAAGTGCAAGAATCTCCTTAACTGTGTTTAGATGGTTAATTTCAATCAGCTGTTACTTAAATGTACCCATGGACTTTGGGGAAGATTAATGATTGATTTTTTTCCT